CTGATCTGATCAGCTGATCAAACGCTACAATCAGAGCGAACTGATCTGCTGGCGATCACGATAACATAGAGAATAATGATTGAATGGATCACTTAAGAGATTGTTGGATTCGAAAGGTTTACGATGATACAAGCACCTTAGTGATATTTTACAGTTAATGGTAAGTGTGAGAGCTTCAACAAAATCGGAAAAATTTTATTCTTCAAGCTTTACAGCTAAATAAATTATTGTCGCCAGCAAAAACATCATATACACATCATAACGTCCGTTCGTCCATCGTTTGACTAGTTATTGATATTCAAATGGATAAATGAAATCTGCGATGGGATATATCTAGTCTTCGGATTGCTGCTCATTATGAGTCAACATTGACTCGTCGGTGAAACTCGTCGAGATTGGTGATCCGCAGCCGTGTGGATAACGATCGAAGAGCGCGCTCCGTGATGGAGCTAGTAATACACTGGCACATAAGGACAACAGCAGCATCTCGATGATTATAACGAAATTGCAAATGACTGAAATTTTGACAATTCAACTTATTTATTTAATTGTTTATTTATTTGCTTATTTATTTATTTATTTATTTATTTATTGACTTATTTAATTATTTATTTGCTTATTTAATCGTTTATTCAATTGTTTAATCAGCAAATCGCAAGAAAAAATTTAAGAAGCCTGATTCAGATCCAGGAAACTTGATAAAAACAAAAGGCTCCACTCACATCTGGCGTTGTCTTGAGCCGATAGTGCTGGTCCACACTGTACNCGACACCGAAACGAACCAAAATATTCTCGAAGATCATCGGCTGCTGAGCCGTATAGAACAGGAGAGCCACATCGATCAGGCGGAAAATTGTCATGAACCCGTAGTGGCTTAACTTGCCCTCAAATGAACACAACACCTGATTTGATCGCCAGGAATTGATCACTTTCACAGAACAGCATAAAAATAAAACTAAAACGAAAACACAAACGCTCTAAAAAGAAAGAAAATTTTAAAATTTCGGTGGAAATTCGGCTCAAGCGATTGAAATTCGAGGATTCTAATCGAGAAATTATCGTTGCATAAGTTTTTTCGAAGAATCTTTTCCTCTATTTCAAGAACACCTTACTGATGTCAGTCGTGCCAGTGTATGTGTACCGAATATGGCCATCAACAGCGAGCCCACTCCAATCATTTCAGCCCAATGAACGTATCTGAATTTGCAAAATTTTCAAACACCAAAAAATTCAGGCTTTTTTCCGGTTATTCTAATGATTTGAACGTGGCCGACTAGGATTTGCAGCGAATCTGGCTCAATTTTTCGCTCTTTAATCAGTACAGAGCTGGCCGGCTCAAGCTGGCTGTGTTCTTCACCTGAACCTGTCGTTAGGCTAAATATCTTTAGACAGATTAACTGGTCACGGTTTAAAAGCTAAGCGAAATGGCCCGATGAATCGGTAGAGTCGTTGGGATATCTGCGGATATCCAACTTACTTTAGAGACTCTTCACGGAATTCCGCTACAGCGATCAAATTGAATAGTACGATGAGCGCCC